AGACCTGCCTACATCACACAGGTAAAGGGTAAAAGATAGTTTTTAAACCTGGATAATATTATTACCATTATCCTTTATCCAGGAGCGTTACTTGTTGCAACGCATGTTCCGAAACCACTCCTGCAAAAATGCAACATACAAAGATGATTCTTCCGACAATAAACAAATGCTGTACGTCCCTTTAAGTTACACCACTGAATCAGAGAAAGACTTCAATAACACCAGGCCCAGGAAGTGGTTGGTCTGTCCAGAAAATATGAAGTACGACAGAAAAGGAATCTGAGGTTATAATATATCAGTTTGGGATTCGATAATAACAGTACTGATGATGAGGAAGTGATTATAATATAATAAGACTGGTGCAGATGTTTGGAAGAATTATGGTGTTGGTGCTGGTGCTGATGAAGATGTCGATTTGCCAGGGACTGCTACATTGAAGGATATGCCGGGGAGGGATCAATGGGTTATATTTAATATACAAATGGCAGGTGAGAGGATGGGTTTACATTTAGAATATGAGGTTTGTTTACTTTTTTTTTTTTACTAAATTCTGAAAGGAGAAGTTTGGGTTTTCGCCATAAAGTCTGATTTGCTTGAATTTTTTTCACTATATGATTTTTTTTTTTTTTTAATATTTATTTATTTTTTTATATATATATATATATATATATATATACAACATTATTTTCATATTTCAGACAGAGGTGTCTGGTATGAGAGATTATGAGAACAGTTTCCATATTTTATATATACATTTCATTTGACTATAATATCTATTTCATTAATATAATATCTATTATAATTAAAATATCTATCTTTATATATAACTCTTCAGTCTTCTTTGTCTTCAATTTCCTTATAGTATTTCTTTATTTTTCTTTTAAAGTTATCGTCATTATTGGTCATCTTGATATCGTTTGGCAGTTCGTTATATATTTTGCTAGCGCTCCATATGACATTTTCTCTAAAATTCTTCTTTCTATTGTGTTTTATGTGAAAATTGTTGTGTTGTCTAGTGTAGTGTTCATGTATATCTTGATTTATGTCTATTGTAGCACCTATTTTAATTCGGTTAAATTTCATTTTGTGTATTAGTTTGCATTTCTCTATTTTAATTATGTTATTTAGTGAATGATTATTTGTTTCTCTCTGTAAGTATTTGGTTGGTGTTAGATGTGGAAAATTATATGCCATTTTTGTGGCTTTATTCATTAATCTCTGTATGTCATTTAGGTTGGCTTTAGTTGTTTGGCTCCATGTTGTTATTCCATATAAAATTATAGGTATTATTTGCGTTTTAAAAATCAATATTTTATTTTTTTTGCCGAACGAGTGAATCCTTTTCAGTGCCCCTGTTAATGTTCCTATCTTTCTTTTTATTTTGTTTATATGTTCTGTCCATGTCAATTTTTTATTTATTATTAGTCCTAAGTATTTTATGCTTTCCACTTCTTCTATTTCTCTATTATTTACTTTAATATTTAGTTTAGTGTTTTCGGTATTTTTTCTATGTTTTGAAATATATGTAATTTTGTTTATCGATGTTAATTGTTAGTTTATTTTCAGTTAGCCACTCGGTGTAAATTTTTATGTCCATGTTTATAGTATCTTCGAGTCTTTTTTTATCCTTTTCTGCATATACTATGGCAGTATCGTCAGCATATAATATGTATCTTTCCTTTAATTTTACATCTTTAAGGTTATTGGTGTATAACAGATATAATAAAGTTCCTAATACAGAACCTTGTGGGACTCCACAAGTTAAAATTAAAGTCCTCCACTTGTGAAATTTGAATTATAAATTTTTTTTTGTAAATAACTCTATTTGTAATGATTGTAATCTATGTTGAGGAAAAATAACCATTTTTAAAAAACCTTGAGGGCGTACTGTTTGTACTACAATCTTGTAATTTGGCTAAATACTAAAACAAACTTTTTTCTGTCATACAACCTTAACAAAAACAGATTATATCATCTAAAACATAAATGTTCTTGATTACTTAACACAAATTGTAATTGTAAATTGTAAATATTTTTAGGTATTTACAGAGTGAATTACGATTTGCAAAATTGGGAGCAATTAATTTCATATCTTCAATCAGAAAATTATTACAAAATACACATTTGGAATCGAGTACAACTCATTGATGATTCTCTGGACTTGGCCTGGTAATTTATTTATTTATATAATGTAGAATAATATAAATAATAATAAATCTTCTTAGGACTGGAGATCAGAATTATTCTGTAGCTTTAAAGCTGGTCTCATATTTGAAACAAGAAACAGAATATATAGCTTGGAACTGCGCATTAAAAAATTTGGCCAAGCTTAAAAAAGCTTTGATGTACGGGGATGAGTTTCCTCTGTTTGAGGTAATAAATGATTAATTATCCTAATTTATAAAAAAAATTGACAAAATTTTAATTATATATTATATTAACTGTTTGAGAATACAAAAGAACAAGAGCAAAATTACTAAAAACAAAGTCGAATTAAAATTCTTGTGCTGTAAATAGTGTGAGAGCTAATATTATTTTTATCTGTATTCATTAAAGTACTGGCGGGGCTAATATAATATTTCACTCACTCATCTATGACTAATATTTTGTATTTATTATTTGCAGAAATATATAAGCCAATTTATATCACCAATGTATGAACGATTGGGTGGTATTTCTCATCAGTTAAAAATCAAAAAGGGCAAATCGGCAGAAAGAGAGAATCTTACAGGTTAATATATAAAATTATATATATATATATATATATATATATATATATATAGTATGGTATCAATTGTATTTTTTACAAAAGTTTTAAATCCAAATCTACCAATGTATTTCAAATATCATTCTTATCATTTGCAGACCATTCTCGGCCTGAAGACATTGTGAAACACCGAATCCTGATCTCGTCCTGGCATGCAGATATGCAATTTCAGATTGCAGACAAAAGGCAGTATCGTATTTTGAAGAATTCATGAACGCTCACAAAACTAAAAGTGACAGGGCAGCTGTGTGTAAAGGACCACTGTGTAATATTATAAAATAATAACTCAGAATGTTTTATTCTTGTGTTTTTTTTTTCAGGATTCCTGCAGACATTGTGTCTATAGTTTACTGTACTGCTGTTCGATTTTCAGACCAGTGAATAAGAAATAGGAGTGAAACATCTGATGATACCAGAAGAAAAGGTACGTACAGACATCTAGTTGTGTTATTTACCAGAAAATGGTTATTCAGTTTTTTATCCTGCAGGTTTTCACAATCATCCTGTGGTCAAACTTACCGCAACAAATAAAAAAATACTGAAAAAATTCTTCTGTATCATTTGAACTTTTAACAGATGAATGTACCACCAGGATGTAGAGAACGTAACATCATCTAGTGCTTTTGAATTTTTATGGAATTTAGCTGAAGATAGTAATCTGGCCAGACGCAAGTTTTGGCTATTTTGAAGGCTTTGGCTTGCACTACGGATAAAGATAGAGCTCTCAGGTATTGCAGATTCATCAATTGTCCTGAAAATGTTGTAAATTGTATGGAAAGGTTTTGGTTGTCTGAAATTTTTACGAATTGCCTTAAAACATTGTAGATTGACTGAAAATGTGGTTGCAAAATGTAGATGTTGAAAAACGTTTTTTTAAAATGTTGCAAATTATCTGAAAATGTTCTAAATGTTCTAAAAATGTTGTAAACACTGGAGAAATGTGAAAATTGTCTGAAAACGTTGAGAACTGTATGAAAATAATGTATATATTGTCTGAAAATGTTGTAAACAATGTGAACATGTTGCAAATTGTCCAAAGAGATAGCTTCTTAGTATTGTAATTAGTCAAAAAGCTCATTACAGATTCATTTACCATATATTAATTTTTTGCAGATATTTGAACGCTTCTTTAGA